TGATGCGCCGGCCGAAACATGGGTACTTGTCGGTAATCTGACTGACCGTATTGTTTGTGCTGTGTTTCTGACTGACCGTGTTTTATGCTATCGTCGTATTAAGCTATATTCTATTCACTTCTGGGCTGCAGTTGGATTGTATGTTAAGAATGAGTCGAATATCATTCGAAACGTCATCGACTCCATATTCGATAAAAGTTTATTACAAGAAATTGCTCCGAATGGATGTACTCAAGTTAAATATGTTTGCCGCTATTTTCCTTCTTTTTCTCTATCCTTAGCTTCTGCTGCATCGAAAGTACATTCCCTGGTAACAATCTATCGAGAGACAGAGAGAGAGAAAAAACGTGCAGGCAACGTATACTATGTTATATGTATATTGGTCACTTCTCCGGATTCGCACTGTAATTTCACCGTTTTCCTTTTTTATTACTAAAAGGCGGCAGGACCTTTTAAAATAGGTTACGGCTCTAGCATTATAGCGCCTAGATGGCACGCATGCAGACCGCGTCGCTATGTTTCGAAGGCCAACTACGAAATACCTCGATCCTCAGGTTCATATATAATATGGATTTGTTTGGTTTCATGCAGACGTAGCCGGCCTAGACGTTCATCCTGGCACGTAGAAGCGAAGGGATGTTGTAATTATGCCGTGTAAATCCGGTAGAGCGACACGCATGTGTGTTGTTTGTTGAGATCATTACCTTGAGCTGTTTACATAACGGACCTGGATTTTGATGCCCGTTGTATTGGCAGCCTGACAGTTCTTCTGCTGTAAGGCGATGATTATTGCATCGTAGACCTGGAAGTCCTCTCTGGAAGTAGATTGGCTTCCACCTTGTTATTTCTTGTTGCACGCTGACTTTCTGGCCGACGTCTGCCTTGTTTCAGCTCTCACACCAGAAGTTCATACTCTCAGCCAGTTTTTGTGACTGGGCCAACATCTGTTTCTTCATGTCCTGAGATCGCTTGTGCCCAGAACAGGTATATATTATGCTAACCAGTGGTATCAAAAGCTTGCTTCTCATAAATTCACAATAGTTACGGTACTTATGGCTGTACTGTGCAGCTGCTATTCTTCTTCGAGATAATCTTCGTTACCGATGGTCTGCTCCCCTGGTTCTGTGAAACAAAGCTGATTGTATTTTAATTTCACGAAATGCATTAGCGCAGTTGATTTTTGAGCCTTTCGATACCAGCCTTATTTCTTTTTGCATAGCGAGCCGCTTTCAAAGTTTGTTCGGTTTTTCGGCTCACTCGATTGTCCGCTTTTGGTAGCACCGTTGACTCCGTTCGATGTTCATGCATATTGGTCAGGTACCATGCTGTTAGGCGTGGACCTGTTACTCTTAGCATTAGTCCATTGAGAGTTTGAAAGAAACTGGCGCTCTCGCTCTCAGAATTCTTCATTAGTTCTTCATTCTGGGTTCTTTACAGACTTTTACGACTATCGTAGCATTTACAGGGACTTAACCGTTATGCCCCTTTGTACTTATCTTAATACTTAACCGTTATGGCCCCTGTAGTTGCGTTATTGTTTCTTTTGCGTCCCACACACTAAAGTGTGGCGAGCTTGAAGTTTCCGGGACACCTCCGGGCTGTTATTCTTATGAAATTTTACCTGAATGTCCGTTAAGAACTTTGATGCGTTTCACATGAAAGAAGTTCAATTTACGTTCTGGCTGTTAGATTTATAGGTCTTGATAAAT